AATCATTAGTGACTAATGAGAAAAACGAAAATATTACTCGTGACCGTAACGTAACTCAACGGATAGATAGTGTGTGTCATATGAGATAAGTTTCGGGTTCGAATCCTGTCATCCTGATAATTGCGGAGAGGTTATTTACTTATTTTGTAAAAATGCATAGAACATTTGGAACTATGTGCGTCAGAGCCTCGCTCGCTACCAGCTAGGTTGTGATTAAAGTCCAATTTACATTTATACTCTCGGTTAACTGTCCAACCGGTACTGGGGGGCTCTCAAGGATGGAGTGTCGTCCTCTGTTTTGAGTAAAACAACAGTTTGCGGTAGAAGATAAACGGAGCTTCTGAAATAATTTCTTAAAACATTTTTAAGAAAATCCGAACACACACGGCCATTGTGCATTATCAACCGCCATATTTTATTTGAAACACTACGCATATATTTTTAAATAATTCACGTCGGCGCCGCAATGGTTCATAACTTAAGAACCGACACATTTTGAATAAACTAGTATTGGATTCAAATCGACGTGTGTAGCTCATCTGGTAGGAAGAAGTGCCACAAAGGAGAGATCTTGAGTTCAACCTCAAGCAATGACTTGGGATGTAACCTCACTCACTTTCCATCAGAGTGTTTCAAGCTCAATTTACATCCTCCGAAATAACTGTATGGTCCATTTTGGGACCATCAGGGATGATTGTCATCCTTTTTTTATTTGCTATGATTAATTATTAATTTTTATTATTTTTGAGCGAATTATAAGATTTTAGTTTATTTAGTTTTTAGAAATAATTACGTAAATATGACTAAAATAAAGATTCTTTACAAAAATGTGACTCGTGATCGACTACAATAGTAATGAAATTATAGTAACTGATGTTCAATTTTTAATCATGATACTACATTCTAGTACTCCCTCCGTCCCTGAATGTTCTTCCGATTGCGGATTACGAAGGTTGACCGACGATAAAGTTAAATGATCCCTGTGAAAACTCGGATTATTTTTAGTAAATAAAATTTACATATTCAGAAACTACATTAAACCCGCTACAAAGCCTGCACAAAAAAAATCAATTTTCATAAAGTTTTGATACAAAAAGTAAGAGTTTAAGAGTGATTTAAGTTGACTCTCGAAAAGCGAAATGGAAGTAAATTTAGGGACAGAGGGAGTAACTATTAGTCATATTTGGGTAAACAAGTTTTAGTTTAGTATTATTTTTGTAAAATAAAAACCCTATTTTTAATACGGAGTAGTTCATTCTAGTATGAATCATATTAGTCGTAGATTTTATTGGGAAAAATTGATAAGAATAATTTCACCTTTCACTGGTCTTCTCATAATAATCTCACATTTACTTAATCCCAGAATAATCCCACATTTGCATCCCATCTCCTTTCACTGGACCCTTCCTTTGAAAATCTTATATAAATAATCCCACCTTTGTAGGTCATAGGTAAGGGACCAATGAAAGAAGATGAGATGCAAAGGTGAGATTATTCTTGGATTACGTAAAGGTGGAATTATTATGAGAAGAACGGTGAAAGGTGAAATTATTTTTGTCAATTTTTCCATTTTATTATAGGGATGTCATTATATGGTGCGATGATTGTCTTTAACGAATACGAGTATTTGTTTGTTTTCTTCTAATTTACACCATTTCGTTCAAACAAACCATTAGAGAAGATTAAATGAGGAATTTGTTAAAAAAATCACTATGCCCTTCTTTGACAATCAGTTTGTTAGTCTTTAGCTGGTTATGATAGTTGTTTGGCAATAGCTGATTGTGTTGATTGTTTTGATTAACATTACTATGTATTTTTTTTTTATATGTAATGAAATTTGTTTAAAAAACATGTACTATTCAATTATAAATTTTGCTATAGGTACCCCAAACCTACCCCATTTTTATCCCATATAAAAATTCTCCCCCACTTTCATTCTCCCCTTCCACCCTCCCCCACTTTTCCCCTCCCCTCCCTCCCTCTCTCCTGCACTCCACCTCTCTTCCTCCCTCTCCTCTTTTTCACGCACCCCCTCCCTTCCCCTTTCTTCTCCATTTCAATATCTTTCTCCTTATTTAAGACTTCCAATTTTTACCATCTTTCCCCCATCCAACCTAGGATCTTCTCCTGTTTATCTCCTCTCCATCGATGATGTTGCCGACGGCGGCCCTACGCCGGTTGACGACGGCCGGCCTACGCTGGTTGCCATTTCGGATGCAACCTCAAGGGAAGACAACGATGAAGGCAAATCAAGAAGCTTTGAATAACTTGAGTAGCAGATCTTCTTTTCTTGATTTTGTTTTCTTGATTTTTGATGTATTTTTGAAATAAAAAATGTTGTCTGTCTGACAGACAACTTGTAAGTGCATTGTCTGTAAGAGTCGTGAAGTTGTCTGTCATTTGAAAAATAATGTCTGTAATTGATATTTAATTATTTGTCATTTGTTTATTAGTTGTTTGTATTTGTATTTGTCTGTAAGAATCGTGAAGTTGTCTGTAACTGATATTTAGTTGTTTGTCATTTCATTTTGAGTTGTATGAAATTTGTGGTGAAAAATAATGTCAGTCTTTTTTATGAAACATATGCCAATATGGTAATTCACAATAAAGTAATGTTTGTATGTGTATATTTAATGTCTATCTCGTTAGACTAATTACATCTCAATCAAATAATCAGGAGAGAGGGAAGGGGGGAGAAAAGTGGGGGAGGGGGGAGGGAGGAGGGAGGGGAGGAGAAAAGTGGGGGAGGGTATTTATATGGGGTAAAGATGGGGTAACTTTTGGGGTACCTATAGCAATTTTCCTTTAATTTAGTCCTATTTAGGGAAGAAAATTGCTATAGGTACCCCAAAAGTTACCCCATCTTTACCCCATATTAATACTCTCCCCCACTTTTCTCCTCCACTCCCTCCCCCTCCCCCCTGATAGACGTTATATTTACTTGTGTTTAACATAAGTATTTATAAGTATTTTTTGAAGAAAAGAAGAGAAATCAGACAAATACCTTCAGAATGAGAGCTAAGGCATAAAACATTGTGATGAACGGTTTTTTAGACCAAGAGAATGACGTTCTGCCCATAATTTGAGTATAACGTATTGTAGAGAACTCGAAATCACTCGATTCGAATTTCATGTGAATGTTAACTCAATAAGGTACAAATGTTATGAAGACGTCATGGCCAAAATATGAAAGGAACAAGACTCAATCAACCAACAAAGTCAGATGTTGCTGGTGGGATTTCAGGATGCATACCTCTCAGTGTTTTAGCCATAACGTTTGATTGGATGAATAAAATCACGTCATTCAAGTTTTGGTGGATAGAAGACTTCATTATCTACAACTTTGGTGAAGAAATCATGTCCAAATTCATAGCAGAACATTCCCAAAATCCCGGTACAAAAACCGACACTTTTTGATCCATTTCGGAGGAAGAAAGACGAAGTACTTTTTTGGGTGCTGCAACCGGCGCCGGTCAGCCAAGAACCGGCGCCGGTCGGAAGGTATTTTCGCACTAAACGAGCCTGTTTGCGACCGGAGCCGGTTCTAGACTGACTGGGGCCGGTTGGGACGATTTTTTGCTAAAACACAGCAACGTGCAAGAGGATTTTTTATGGGAAAACTTCACCTTCCTCATCTCTTGATCAAATATTGCTCCATGCCTGATTGTTGGGATCGAATAGACTAAAAGATGTCATTCTTTAGCCTATATAAAGCCCTCAATTCATCAAGCAAAGACATTCCATTCCATACTTTAATTCATAGCTTTTATATTTAGTTCTTGCTAATTTTCTTCAAGTTCTTGAGGAGGAAACTTCAACCTCCGAAATCATTGGTGTTTAGGTATTATTTCCTTTGTAATTTCATGTTCCATTATATTTCAATATTGTATTGTGATTAATATGAGCATTAGAGGCTAATTTCTTAGCTAAGGCTAGGGATGAACCTCTATGCACACTAGGTGTTTGATAAAAGTTCTAAACCAATAAATTGTGATTTATCCTTTATATTTTGATTGTTTATGACTATGGTGTACAACATAGAAGTATATTAAATTTAGTTTATTATTGCAATTAACGTCGAAGTCTAAACTATGAACATTAAAGGATAAACATATATAGTACCAAGAATAGAAATATATCTGGTCTTATATGATACGGGTGTGATGTCTTGATATTCAACGGGGTTTTCAGTAGATGAATGTAAGCCGTAACGGGACTTACACGTAACGAAAACCACGCTCTCGCTGCCTTAACCGGAGTTGAGAATATATTAGCGACATCGTATTCATAATTATTGGGAAAGAACTAGTATTAAATCCTATTAAAGCATTTAGGTGAATCTCGATTGCCTTAGTAATTCTTATTCTTGTTTAAACCAATCTCAAGAGCAAAGTTCCTCAAAAACTATACCATTTATATTCTTTTGCATTCAATACTCGACTTTATAATATCAACCATTTCCCTGTGGATCGACCCGGTATTTACCGGTATTTTATTACTATATCGGCACTTGTATACTTGCAAGTTCAAACCGATCACCCCCTTTTCATCCCCCTCTCTCTCTCCCTTCACGCAGCCCATCCCCTCCCTTCAGGGCGGTCTTTAGGATTTTTTGGGCCCTAGGCATAAACTAAAATATATTTTCATATTAGTGAAAATTGTTAGGCATAAGATATCATTCACAGAGTAATTGCTTAAAATTTTACATTAAAATTTAGATTTATATTTTTTGAACGTAAATTGAAATTTAATATTTCAAATCTCCATTCAATATAAAGTTGAATTAATATATGTTGGGAATATTATAGTGTACATTTTTTTGGTGTAACATTTGTGTAGTACGTACGTGGTAGTTGATCAACATAGAAAGTGTATAGCTTTGATTCTCTTTCCTTATTTTACTCCCACAATCTCGCTGGGAAGAAACGTAGCTAGATGTGTGAGTTGGAGTATATATTCGAATGATTGTATCCTTCTTGAAAGCCGGAATAATACGAAAATATTTCCCTTCCTTCGAATGTTTTTCTTCATGGTATCAGAGCAGTGAAAGGCTCTGGGCGTGAACTTTGCTATACCGACGGCTGAATCAACAAAGCCATGTCCGGCGATCAAACTGAACGACGAAAAATCAACGATCCGGCTTCGCCCTATTATCTTTCAAGCTCGGACTATCCTGGCCAGAACATATGTGGGCTAGTCCTGACAGGGGAGAGCAACTACAAGGAATGGGCGACGTCGATGAAGAACGCATTCCGTGCAAAACGGAAATTGGTGTTTCTTGACGGCACCATCAAACGACCCGAAACCAACGCCAGAGATCTCGAGGACTGGCTGACAGTCCACTCCATGGCCGTAGGATGGATTATGACATTGGTAGACCAGGCCTTGCGTACCAATCTTGTCTATACGGAGACTGTTTGTGAATTGTGGAACGATCTGGAGCAGCGCTTCGCCGCCGGGGATGCGATGCGGACGTATGAACTGAAAGAATTGATCCGCGACTGCCGGCAGGATGGACAAACGATCACGACCTATTTTGGACGACTCAAAGGCCTGTGGGATGACTACGACGATTACTGGAAATTCCCGCAGTGCACGTGTGGAGCGTGTACATGCAATCTTAATAAGTTACTCCTCAAATATGTCGAGACAGAAAAGATACACGACTTCTTAATGGGTCTTGACCACAAGGTCTATAAGAATTTACGTTCTAATATTTTGAGTTTGGATGACCTGCCTTCATTGACCAGAGTGTATAAATTGGTGACACAAGAAGAAAGGTTACAGAATTTGACGCGAGGAAAGGAGGAGAAAACCGAGGCAATGGCCTTTGCTACTCGCACCACATCCAATCTGGACGAAAAGGAGGGAAAAATCAAGTGCACCTTTTGTCACAAGACTGGACATGAGGCGGAAAACTGCTTTAGGCGGACCGGAAATTATCCGGACTGGTGGTACGAGAACCCGGGAAGAGGTCGTGGGGAACGGAGCCGTGGAGGACCTAGTCGGGGAGGACACGGCCGAGGACGTTCTGGACGCGGCGGTGGCCGCAGCGGAGTGCATGCAATGCATGTTGGAGAATATCGGGATGGTGAACCTGTGATGCATGAAAAGAAGAACGTGGTTATGCACAAACCCGAATTTACAGATGAACAGTGGCAGACCCTCATGAAGTTGATGGAAAAGAGTAAGAACAATAGCTCCGAGGAGAAACTCACAGGTATGAAGGTTAATGATGAATGGTTGTTGGATTCCGGGGCCTCATATCACATGACGGGGAAGGAAAATGTACTGGGGGAAATCACACGAATAACTCCAGTAATTGTATCACTACCTAATGGTGATACCACACAAGCCACACATGTGGAAACGGCTTTCCTTGGCTCACGGCTGAAATTGATGAATGTTTTATTAGTACCTGGACTGAAATGCAATTTAATTTCATTGGGAAGATTAGTTGATGATCGAAAATGTGATATATTTTTTACTAATGATGTGTGTGTGATACAGGACCTACTTACGAGGACGCCGATTGGAGTGGGTGACCGACGAGGGGGAGTTTATTATTTCCGGAGTCTCGATCTGGCACAAGTACATGCGGTGGAAGGATCCAACTCAGGTGATTTGTGGCATTCTCGGCTGGGACATCCGTCAGTGAAAGTTTTACGGTTGCTTAGTTGTTTGAATAAAAATTTGTTAAATTCTGCTCAGAATAATGTGTGTGATGCTTGCTTACGCGGCAAACAAACACGTGACAGTTTTGCTATTAATAATGCTCGTGTTATTGAACCTTTTGAGTTAATTCATTGTGATATTTGGGGTCCGTATCGCGTTTTATCTACATGTGGAGCACGTTATTTTTTAACTGTGGTAGATGATTTCTCTAGAGCTGTGTGGGTACATTTGATGCATGATAAAGGTGAAGTCAAAGGTATCCTGAAAGGATTTATTGCCATGGCTAATCGTCAATTTAACAAAAATGTCAAGGTTGTGCGTAGTGACAATGGCAAAGAGTTTACGAGTCTCCAAGAATATTTTTCGGCCCAAGGCATAATTTTTCAAACATCATGTGTTTATACACCTCAACAAAATGGTAGAGTCGAGAGGAAACATAGGCATATTTTGGAAATGGCTAGGACACTTCGTTTTCATGCTAACTTGCCAATCAAATTTTGGGGCGAATGTATCCTCACGGCGGGGTATTTGATAAATCGATTATCCTCTCCGGTCATAGACAACAAAAGTTGTAACACCCCGGCCCCACCGGACCCGAGGTAGTTACTCCGGACCAATAGTACTGTCCCCACAAACCACCACGAGCCTTTACCGCGCACTTTGTCCTCACTCATGCGCGCCCTGAGAAACTTCCCAGGGGGTCACCCATCCCAAGACTACTCCCGTGCAAGCACGCTTAACTTTGGAGTTCTTGGGTGATGAGCTCCCTTAAAAGGAGATGCACCTCTGTTTGTATGAGTAGTACTATTAATCCGTTTATATTAAATCTCAAGTGTTACAATCACCCCCACTTAGGATCGCAACGTCCTCGTTGCGCCCTTGAACCAATGTCAAATCTCAATCAAATCCCAGAAATCTTCCCCCGCTAAGTGCCCGCCCGATATCCAACGGGTCATCACACTGTCGCGGGGTTGCTCTGATACCACCTTGTAACACCCCGGCCCCACCGGACCCGAGGTAGTTACTCCGGACCAATAGTACTGTCCCCACAAACCACCACGAGCCTTTACCGCGCACTTTGTCCTCACTCATGCGCGCCCTGAGAAACTTCCCAGGGGGTCACCCATCCCAAGACTACTCCCGTGCAAGCACGCTTAACTTTGGAGTTCTTGGGTGATGAGCTCCCTTAAAAGGAGATGCACCTCTGTTTGTATGAGTAGTACTATTAATCCGTTTATATTAAATCTCAAGTGTTACAAAAGTCCTTATGAATTACTTTTTGGTAAACCACCCATGTATAATCAACTTAGGGTCTTCGATTGTCTATGCTACGCTCATGAGACAAACTCTGCATGTGATAAGTTTGGGCCACGCGGAGTGAAGTGTGTATTTTTGGGTTATGCATATTCACAAAAGGGATGGAAGGTTTATGATCTCCAAAGTGGGTGACATTTTGTTTCCCGAGATGTAAAATTTATTGAACATTCCTTTCCGTTTCGGGAAGGAGATATGGCAATAGATAAAACAACTTCACTGGATAACTCTCATGCATTGAACTGGGACGTGGGACGCCATGCATGTGAGGAAGAATGTCACTTGGAAGGCACTGGGACGTGTCAAACATATGAAGAAGATTCTGGCAGTCAAGGGGCACGGTCAAACACTCTTGATCAAGGCAGTATGAATGACAGTACCACCGATCATGCTACGGACCATGCAGCGACTCCAATTACACAGGAAGGTGTTTTACGCCGAGGGACACGATCACGACATACCCCAACATGGCATAAAGATTACGCTGTGCAGATGAACACGGTGGCAATAAACTCTCACCTCGCTGGTATCCCTACTCCAACGGTCGAATCAGGTAATCCTTATCCCATAACTCATTATGTAAATTATAATCATTTTTCGGTTTCGCACCGAGCTTTTCTTGCAGCCATCTCTTCAAACAAGGAACCGGCGAGCTTTGGGGAGGCAGCACGTGATCCACTATGGCGTGACGCTATGAACCGCGAAATTCAGGCCTTGGAGCGAACAGGGACATGGGAGATTCGGGACTTGCCGCCGGGCAAGAGAGCAATTTTCTGCAAATGGGTCTACAAAATCAAGTATAAAAGTGATGGCTCGGTAGAACAGTATAAAGCAAGGTTGGTGGTGTGTGGGAACCGCCAAGTGCATGGCATTGATTATAGTGAGACTTTTGCACCCGTCGCAAAGATGGTAACAGTTCGCACCATTTTGGCGGTGGCTGCTTCTTGTCATTGGGAGTTGCATCAAATGGACGTGGACAATGTGTTCTTACATGGAGATCTCGGCGAAGAAGTCTACATGCATCCACCGCCAGGATATTCTGCCTCTTCCTCTGGAAAGGTGTGTAAGTTGCTTCGGTCGCTATATGGCCTTCGTCAAGCACCGAGATGCTGGTTTTCTAAACTTACCGCATCTTTACGTGCATATGGGTTCACACAATCACATGCCGATTACTCCTTGTTCACCATGCGTAGAGATAATCGGATTTTGTGCATACTTATTTATGTTGACGATTTATTGGTGACTGACAATGACCGAAATATGATATTGCAATTTAAGCAATTTCTTGCTGCCACTTATCCGGTGAAAGACTTGGGGGTGATGAAATATTTCCTCGGCATCGAGGTTGCACGTAATCCCTCTGGAATTTTTCTATGCCAACGAAAATATGTACTTGATATTTTGACTGAAACAGGGCTATCCGCCGCAAAGCCAGTAGCATTTCCCATGATACAACACCATCGGCTACAGTCTGACACGAGTCCAGTATTTTCTGACCCCGAACGCTATAGGAGACTTGTTGGGAAATTAATTTATTTGACATTAACCAGGCCGGATATCTCCTATTCTGTTCATGTACTTTCTCAATTCATGCAAAACCCCAGGGTGGCGCAGTGGGAAGCCGCACTCCGTGTTTTGCGCTATCTCAAAGGATGTCCGGGACAAGGTATTTTGTTGCGATCCGATTCCTCTCTTTCACTTAATGGATATTGTGATGCCGACTGGGCGAGTTACCCAGTCACACGTCGATCGGTCACCGGATATTTTGTTTCCCTGGGTTTATCTCCCATCTCATGGCGTACCAAAAAGCAGGTTACAGTTTTCCGTTCATCAGCAGAAGCTGAGTATCGGGCCATGGCCTCATTAGCATGCGAACTTATTTGGTTGAGAAGTTTGCTTCGGTCCTTGGGGGTATCACAATCTCAGCCCGCCAAACTCTACTGTGATAATCAAGCCGCTCTTCACATTGCTTCTAATCCCGTATATCATGAACGCACAAAACATATTGAGCTTGATTGCCATTTTATTCGGGACCATATTCAGGCCGGCACGATCGTTCCTTCTTACACTTCCACTGCCGAACAACCAGCAGATTTGCTCACTAAGGCTCTTGGCGCGCATCAATTTTCATATTTACTTGGCAAGATGGGCATTTGCTACCCCCATGCTCCATCTTGAAGGGGGGGTGTTGGGAATATTATAGTGTACTGGTGTAACATTTGTGTAGTACGTACTGGTGTAATATTATAGCTTTGATTCTCTTTCCTTATTTTACTCCCACAATCTCGCTGGGAAGAAACGTAGCTAGATGTGTGAGTTGGTGTATATATTCGAATGATTGTATCCTTCTTGAAAGCCGGAATAATACGAAAATATTTCCCTTCCTTCGAATGTTTTTCTTCAATATAAAACACTAAGTTTTGCTTAAAGAGTACGTACCATGAAATTGAATTAGAGTAAATTTATATCGCACTAGAGATACAAAATTATATTATATTTCTCTAACTTCAGTATTGATGGTCTTTCGTTTTCGAAACTGAAAAAAAGAACATTTAAAAAAAAAATGGTTCATTCGACAAATGACCTATTGTGTGTAATCTTCGGTCTTTGTAATACCAATTAGGCTGATTACCGATTGATCTTGTGAAGGTTGTCACTTTTTTATTTAAATTTCGGAATTGTGTGAGGCTGAGAGTCCTAACCATTACTATTTCATAGTACTAACTATTACCGAGTAGTATTCTACTTGAGTAATTTTTTGTATGGTACGTTCAATATAATAGAGTATTATTAATGATCATTAAATGAGTTGCAGTATTGGCTCCGTTTGTTTTTTGGAGGGTTCACACGAAACCGCTGCTTTTTGCAGCGTTTCACTTTGTAAAAAATTGGCGGATTGGCCAAATCCGCTGATATCCAAACAGGGCATTCGATCTAGGCATATTTAATTTAACTTTTTTTATGAGACATCATTTTTTAAATTAATTAGTATGTTTGATTATTATACGTAGAACTAATAGATCGAGTTGTTAATGGTGCCCTGTGAATTGATGGGTGCCCTAGGCATTTGCCTAGGTGCCTTCCATCTATGGACGGCCCTGGACTAACTTAAAAACCTCGCCTAACCTGAAGTCTGTTTACTAGGCCGGCTTGTTTAGCAAAAAATAACAAGTTCATAAAAATTCAAAATAAAAAGTGACAAATAATATTAATTCGGTATAAAGTTTATCTTTCCAAATATTCACTAAAAAGTCTAACGATATGTTAGTTTTGCTTTGAATGACTAATAAATGTTATAAATTTTTATGTATTTCAAATCTTAAAAAACTTTGAATTTCAATTATCTTAGTAACCTATTATCACATTTTATATATTTAATAGAAACAGTATTCTAATTTATAATGATATAATACGTGCTCCATCAAAAACACTTTTATGCCTAATTTGTTATAATTAAGTATACTAATATAAATATTAATATAAATAATACAAAACATATACAAATAAATACACAAACACACACATATATAAATAGGTTGGTCTGTTAAGCTAAAAAGGCTTTAGAGTTGGGCTCAGTTTGACCTGTTTACACAAACTGGCTTTTTGAAAGCCAGACCTTGAGACCTTGTTTGTTTGAAAGCCAGGCCAGCAGGCCCTGACAGGTCGCCTGGCCTATTCCCACCCCTACTTGTGAACTAAGGAGTGCTTTATGCAGCTCCAATTGTTGGCCTACTATATCCTTGGATATTTTAGTCAACCAACGATGATGAGTCTTTCCCATGCCATTTTGTATACTCTACACCACATAGGATCAATAAGGTGGAGAATGTG